AAAAAAAAAAAAAAAAAAAAAAAATTTACTATAGAATAGTCACTTCCTGCTATAGAAGAAAAATTTGAAATTTTTGACTTACAAGCGGCCCCATGAGAAACCCCGGGTGTGCGCAGCTCCAATGCGGCGGTGGTCCCTCTCACTGTGTCTGGGTTTCTAGCCTGACACGCTCTTGAGCTGAGGATCATGAACCACAGCTGCCAGGTTACGTGTGTGGCCTGGGTCCACTACGGTGTGGCCAAAGGGACACCAGACAAGGTAGAGCTGAGTAAAGAAGAAGTAAAACATCTCATTTCTGAGGCAAAGGAGAAACTCCAAGAAGAAGGTGGCATTGATGAAGAGGAGTCGTTCAGAAGGTGACATGCAAAGTGAGTCCCTGGAGGATGGTGACCCGGAGGACGACAGGACGCATGATGATGATGAGCTGGCTGAATGTGACTTAGATAAATACTATTGATGAGGAAGATTACCCAGATGCTGAGATTCTTGGTTAATCTCTCTTGCGTCTTATGGTCTATGGGAGTTATGATCAGGAGGATTGTTCCGTTGCTCTGAAAGATGCGGAACAATATGTAAGTGAAGATTTCTTGATTAAGCCCAGTGATGATCTCACAGTTTGTGGCTCAGCTGAACAGGACCAGTGCAATTTAGAGATGCATGTTTATAATCAAGAAGACTCTTTATGTAAACCATGATATACTCTTGTCTGCATATCCTCTTAGTGTGGACTGACTGAACTTTGATCCTAGCCCAGATGATTCTACTGGAAATTATATTGCTGTAGGAAATAATACCCCTGTTATTAAAGTGTGGGACCTTGATATAGTGGGCTCTTTAGAGCCCGTCTTCGCACTCAGAAGTAAACTTTCAAAAAAGAAGAAAAAGAAAGGAAAGAAGAGTTCCTCAGCAGAAGGGCATATCAATGCTGCCTTGACCTTTCATGGAATAAGCTAATCAGAAATGTTTTGACTAGTGCATCAGCTGACAGCACTGTCATTCTGTGGGATATGTCATTGGGGAAAGCAGCAGCTAGCCTCACTGTACACACAGACAACATCCAGATGCCGCAGTTTTCATCCATTTGCAGCACAGACTCTGATTTCTGGCTCGTATGACAAGTCAGTGGCTTTGTATGACTGCCGAAGTCCAGATGAAAGCCACTGAATTTGGCGATTCAGTGGGCAGATAGAGAGAGTGACTTGGAATCACTTTTCACCTTTTCAATTTTTGGCCAGTACAGATGACAGCTTTGTATATAATTTGGATGCATGTTCAGATAAGCCAGTTTTTACACTTAATTCACACAATGATGAAATCTCTGGTCAAATCAAGGGCCTGTCTCGTGACTGCTTCAGCAGACAAATATGTGAAGACCTAGGACATCTTAAGGAGATAGGCCAAGTCTAGTTCATTCTAGGGACATGAAAATGGGAATTCTCTTCCGTTCTTCATGTTTTCCTGATTTGCCATTTATTTATGCCTTTGAAAGTGAAAAAGAAGGGCTTCGGATCTGGGATATAAGCACAGTCTCTTCAGTAAATGAAGCATTTGGAAGACGAGAGGCTTGTTCTCAGGAGTGCAAGAAATTAATCTGTTAGTGGCCCTTTTGGCAGCAGGAGCTCAGACGCACCCATGGAGTCTTAATGAAGATAATCTAATTTCCTGTTTACCTTAACTGGGAATTTTAAAAAGTTGGCCTACAAACCTTCCATGTGTGGCAGCAACCATGCAGAGTGACTGAAACACAATTCATTTCTGACTGACTGACATTCCTTTCTGCAACTGTGGTGGCACCACAAACACAGTCGGTCTTTGTGCTTATTCTTGAGACAGATGGTTTGTAAGGCTCTTGTTGCATTTCTTAAAAAGAATAATAGGGCCGGGCGCAGTGGTTTACGCCTGTAATCCCAGCACTTTGGGAGGCCGAGGCGGGTGGATCATGAGGTCAAGAGATCGAGACCATCCTGGTCAACATGGTGAAACCCCGTCTCTACTAAAAATACA